ACGTTCTGCTGCAAATTAAACAATGCAGCAAATTAGCTATTAATTTACGTAAACGTAATTAACGAGACGAAAACGACGCTTTTGTTTCAGTTATTTTTGTAGGGGTTTCAGATATTTATAGAGTTCAGTGGGTTGTTTCTGAGGAGATGTGGAGGTGTGAATTATTAATTAATCACACTTAATTAGTATATAGGGCCTTGCACTTAATCATCTGGATTAAAAAAAAAGTTTCCTGCTGAGTGCAGAAAGGTAGGTAAGTGCATCGCCAGGTATTATCTCATCCATGGCCAGGTTCTATCACAGGATTGGAGCAGTTATTGCAGATGAAAGTCAAAGTTGGCTGTTCATGTTTAGGCCCTGTTCTTTATTTGGCCATCTACCCCATATTGCAGTTGTGATGACAAGCAGTTTTCAGTGTAGTTTTGTGATCTTTGATGTCATCAATTGGTGTCATTATTTTTTGTCAACTAAAACTTATTTCAACTTTCCATTCAATCGACTCAATCATACGAGTCACTCTAATTTTCGGGAATCAAATCAGTCAACCAGTCGCTAAAGTCAAACGAGTCAGTCAACCAGTCATCTCGAAAAGTCAATCGACTCAATCCAATCAACTCAAAATACGCGTTGAATCAAATCAATCAATTCAATCGACTTGATTGGTATACAACCCTGGTTACAGGACAATTTGCCGAACTGCATTTTGCCGAATGCTTATTCGCCGAATGTCAATATGTCGAATGCATTTTGCCGACGTGTCTTTTTGCCGACGTGTCAAAAGGGCGAAGTGCTAAAAGTCGAAATGCAATTTGCCGACATGCCTTTTTGCCGACGTGCAATAAGTCGAAAATGTAAATTTGCCGAAATGTCAATTTGCCGAAAAGTCAATTAGTCGAAACGTCAATTCGCCGAAATGCTAATTTGCCGAAATGCTAATTAGTCGAAATATAAATTTGCCGAAATGTCAATTTGCCGAAAACTTAATTAGTCGAAATGTCAATTCGCCGAAATGCTAATTTGCCGAAATGCTAATTAGTCGAAATGTAAATTTGCCGAAGTGTCAATTAGTCGAAATGTCAATTTACCGAAAAGTCAATAAGTCGAAATATAAATTTGCCGAAATGCCAATTAGCCGAAATTAACCTAACCTAACCTAACCTAACCTAACCTAACCTGACCCGCAAGTATTAACTTTAGGACCGACTCGCTTTTCAAAGGTAAAGAAACCCACTTACGTGTCACCAAAGTATAAGAAAAACATAACCAAACCTTACCTAACCTGACATACTGACTTTTTCCTACCCGTGGATAAGGAAGAAGATGCTCACATGAATAGATTGCAGACAATGACAAGTCAATTATTTTTAGGTCAATTGTGCATCAGGCTTCAGGCCTTCGGCCTGAAGCCAGATACACAACAATTTAACCCGCGCCCGGCTGGGGGTCCTGGATTTCCACACCCTGCTGGGGGGGGGGGGGTGTTTGAACACCCCCCCTTCTAACTCGGCTCCTGGGCCACGTAGCGATACGCGGAATGCGGCGTTCGAAAGAGCGTCAAAAATAATGAGGAAATCACTTCGGTCAATTTTTTGGTCAGGTCAAAGGTCAGGTCACCAGAGGTCATTGAAGGCAAAATTTCGCCGATTTCCAGGTCGAATGTCGACAAGTTCCAAGAAGCCAACGCATAACTCGGGAACCAATAGAGCTACAGCGCCGCAGGAAAGCGCATTCGATAGCCCTATTAACGCCCTTTCTGAGTAATTCCCTCAGATTTGACCTAACGTCAACGGTTTTGCCTGCAGGGGGCAAAAACTGCAAAAATAGACGATTTTTTCGGAAACAGTTTTTCTGCAATAACTTTTGACCCAAGCCTTGTACGAGCTTACTTTTACCGGCGGCATCGTGTTCCTCTCGTCAAGACGCATCGAATGAACTATAACTTGACCTTGAAAGGTCAACTTGAGAATTTGACCTCAGGTCAAGGTCATGACCCGACCGGAAAGGGTTATGTTGCATATCAGTCGATCCGTATCGTCGAGCTGAACACATCTAAGGCGTTTTCATCGCTCTAGCATGCCTCTATCAAAAGTTATTTGCGAAAAACTGTTAGATACCATTCGTGACAAGATGACCTCAGGGCATAAACAGGGGTCACGGACACCATTTTCATGTTCAGTGTGTCTAAACCACTGAATGTGTCTAAACCACATTCAGTGTTTGGGAGTGTTTATAATGTCTTTCGTCCAAAAGAGGCGCATTTCAATTTTCTCCCATTGACCTATAATGGGGAGGTCGCAAAATTGACCTGACCTTAGGTCATCGATATCCAAATTCTGAGATATACATGTTGTACATGCTATTGCTCTTATCAATCGCTGGAAGTTTCAAAGCGATCGGTCACTCGGTGTAGCTATGACAGACATTGAAACTTTTTATGAGGTGAGGTCACTTCAAGTGACCTGGTGACCTGACCTTGAATGACCTTGGTCTGAAATTTTCACAACATGTGTAGAATCGATGTATGATAAGGTGTACCAAAAACGGCGAAAAACCACAAGGGGGGGGGGTGTTCAAACACCCCCCCCCCCCCAGCAGGGCGCGGGTTAACCCTCACCGGACATATTGGTTTTCTACATACCGGCCGAGGTGGTAATTGCTGAAAGGCTATTTGCCGAATGTCATTTTGCCGAATGCATTTCGTCGAATGTCATTTTGCCGATGTGCTTTTTGCCGACGTGTCAAAAAGTCGAAATGCCATTTGCCGACATGCCTTTTTGCCGAAATGCCTATTTGCCGAAATGCTTATTAGTCGTTTCGCCCCTGGTGGAGCTGGCGCGTCGCGGAAAAAACGAGCGTGTGCGCCGTTACGAGACGCAGAGATTGATACCCGATTTTAAGGTCCTACGTCAACCGGTGACCTCTGAGGTCAGGTCAAGTGCCTCAAGGTACGGTTCAGTTTTTGGCGAATAACTTCGCCACAAAGGGCCGCAGAGCCGCGATTTTGGCAGCATCGTGTTTGCCTTGCTTAGGCGCGTCAAATGATATACCTAATTTTTGTTTGGGTCAGGTCAACTTAGGGTGTTGACCTCTCAGGTCACGGTCAGGTCAGCACCCCCAGGTCATGAAGTTGGTGGAAAGAGGTCATGTCGCATGTCATTCGATTTGGCAGGTCTTCCTGAGTCCATTGGTGGCTTTCCCGACTCACTAGCTCAATTTGATCGGGATTTATTGACGAAAAACTAATATGACCTTGATAACGTCATGAATGACGTCACACAAGGTCAACATTGCAAAAGTTACGCATCTAACCTTGCAAGGAAGGCGTCAAATCACGATTCTGTGTGCTTGAGATAGTTAGAGGTCGTTCCCGGCGCCAGAATAGCAGTTTTAATTTTTCTTCTTGACTTGTAATGGTGAGATCACGAAAATGACCTAACCTCAAATAACCTTTAGGAAAATCTGAGACATACAAGCTGTGAGACTCGTAATGGATATTAGGTCCTGCATGCTTCATTTCCCTGTGAAAGCTCCTCTGGCCGTGAGGGCGTTGCGAAGTTGCGACATCTGAAGACCGTGCAGAGGTTCACTGATGACGTCATAGGTCGGTGACCTGACCTGACCCGAAGATGCGGTTGGTGTAAAAAGATCCGGCTTGAATCAAAGGTCAGCTATGCCACGTTTCAGCTCTCTATCGCCAGCCTGTTTGGAGCTATCGCGAAAAAACCCTATGGGGGTGCGGCACCCGCACCCCCCTCGGCCGGCGAGGGTTAACCTAAAAATATTTGACTTACCTTTGCCTGTAATCTCTCCTAAGGCATTGCCTTCGGCACTGCACTGCTTCGTCACGAGCAATTTGATGTTTATTTCCACATGGTATTGGTGCTTTTAAACTTGCTTGTGCCATGAATAATTATTAGTTATGAAATCAGGAGGTCAAAGGATACCAATCATGTGATTTGCTTCTTACTTGGGGATTGCACCAAAAGTAAATTGGTGATCGGTCCTAAGTAAATAAACACCACCTAACCTAACCTAACCTAACCTTGGTTTGCAGATTGACATTTCGGCAAAGTTATATTTCAACTCATTGACATTTCGGCAAACTGCCAATTCGGCAAATTGACATTTCGGCAAATTGACATTTCGGCAAATTGACATTTCGGCAAATTGACATTTCGGCAAATTGACATTTCGGCAAATTGACATTTCGGCAAATTGACATTTCGGCAAACTGACATTTCGGCAAATTTACATTTCGACTAATTGACATTTCGACTAATCAACATTTCGGCAAATCGCATTTCGACTAATTGACATTTCGACTAATCAACATTTCGGCAAATCGCATTTCGGAAAATTTACATTTCGACTAATAAGCATTTCGGCAAATTGACATTTCGGCAAAAAGGCATGTCGGCAAATGGCATTTCGACTTTTAGCATTTCGACTTTTTGACACGTCGGCAAAAAGCACATCGGCAAAATGACATTCGGCGAAATGCATTCGGCAAAATGACATTCGGTAAATCGCCTTTCGGCAATTTGTCCGGACACCACCTAGGGTACCCCCAAATCTAGTTTTCTCACCGGTTATAGGCCACTTATTTTTTCATCCCTTGTCTTTTTCAACAAAAAAGAAAACACTGGCAAAAAAGTGCGGTATTCCGTCTTAGAGTTGTGGGGGCACCACCCTCACGGCCCCAGAGTTGGTGGGGCAAGGTCCCCACTGCCCCCCCCCCCGGTTCCCGCGTCTATGCCTTTAACGCTCTTCCTAGAATAAGCTCTCAGATTTCGCCTAGGATCAACGACGTAGGTAGCCTCTAGAGGATAACCACTTAAAATTGCCGTTTTACGAATCGTGTGCCCACAGCCCAAAACAACGGTTTGGGAAGGGGTATGCTTAGATATCTCCCAGCTGAGCGGAGGCTAAATAAATTGCTGTATGCAAAAGAACCCCCGACTGCATGAGGCTGACCTCGGTCCGTTCCCCCCGTATTCCAGCGATGAAGGTGGACCCGTCGGGTGGCAGCGAGTCGCCGATGCGGCCCGGCGACTGGGGCGCCCTCTTGAACGGCCAGCATAGTTCGGCGGCGCTCAGTCAGATGTCGCTGCTGATGGCCGAGGGCGTGGCGTCGTCGCTGTGCGAGGCCCAGCTGGCCGACGAGGGCTCCAGCGCCGCTGCCGGGTCGGGTACCGTCTTCACCGGCGGCGGGGAGGCCGAGCGGCGCTGCTGCTGCCACTGCAGCTGCGCCGGCGGCGTGCCGCGCAAGGAGGGCAACACCTTCCCCAACGGTTGGTGGAGGACGAAGGGGCACCGGCCGTGCTACGTCAGGGATCATAGTCTTTGTGGTTTGTGGAATGATTTTCAGGGCTTTATTCAGTCATTTCTTCAATCTGAACTTCATGCTATTTGCTTAGGATCTTAAATTATTTGATAAGTTTTTTTTGTCGGTAGAGTATTTTGATCATAATGGGGGCAAGATGCTAGATGCAGTAAGAGCCGCCGAACTGACTCACCGTTACCCGTTGCCCACTGATAGGTCCTCGTGTTCAGTTCATGTGCTCCATCCATCCAACTTGGCGTGTTAAGGATCTTCATATGTCGTGTGCTGTGCTTCATATGCCCCACCTATCTCCTCAGAGCTGGATGTTTGCTCGTTGCCTGCCCTCGCATCCCTCCGCCCCAGCCACGACTCTCGGTGTCCGTTCGCTGTTACAGCCTACCTCTCGCCCCACAGAGCTGGTGGTGAAGGTGCGCGTCTCGGACTCGCCGGAGCGGCATTTTGTGCTGGTTGACCTGCCGACCAGCGACCTCAGCTGGCTCAGACTAGTCGCCGCCAGCTGCGCCGCTCTCGGCATTCCTGTCAAGGTTGGTATTACGAAATACGAACGCTGTCTTTTTCGTATCAGAAGTCTTTCTAAGTATTGTTAGAAATTTGCAAATATCCCTTGTAATTATTGGTCCCACGGCCCTCGAAATGCAGTTGAGTTTGAGGTATGAATTTGGACTACCCGGAGTCCCGACTAGTGGTGCTCACGACTCAATCCACTAACCTTGGTCAGCTGTTGCTGTTATTTGCTCCCTCTACTTCAGTGTCGAGGTGTAGTCAAACAGCTCTGGAGTATCAAGTGTTTTGTTTTGTTTTATTTGTTGGTTTAGGCACTTTCGGTCCAATGGGACCATTTCAGAGCCGGGAGGATGATAGGATGTAGGGGGAGACATTGGTCTGGGCAGGCATCCTTGTGAGTCACAGGGGCTGAGCCCGTCCAGAGGACAGGCCACCCAGCCCCAAGGCACTCACTGCACCCGGCTACGGGTGTGCTCCCTCGGGAGCAGCGGTGCCGCTCCAAGGGAGCAGCCCGCATGAGATAAAGTTGCCTGCCCATCCCGAAGTAAGGGCTGCGGAGTGGAGGAGACGTATTTGAACATCCTGAGGACGGAAACGACGGACGGCTGACCCCCATCAGTTTGACTCTCGACTGGAGCCACTGGGACAGCGGAGTGCTCCCGAGTCCCCCGTTCCAGTCGTTCCATTGACCGTCATTGCCGTCCGTTCCCAGATGGTGAAGGAGGTGCTGAAGCTGCCCAACACGCTGCTGGTCCGTGACAAGGACGTGAAGCGGCTGCTCGACTACCAGGAGCTCGAGCTGATCCTGCACAATGCCTGACGGCTGCAGTTAGTGCCATCTAGTGGAGAAAAACAGAGACTCTAGTGTGTAGACCCGCCGACAGGAGAGTGGCAGAGGACCCGTCGCCAGCGACTTTTCTGCGCCACCGAGCAGAAACTCGCTGTCTGTGTGGTATCGGGTTATTGTCGATAGTCCAGAAACCGTCCCGCTCAGTTAGCGAGGGCGCCCTCAGGTGTCAGAGGCCGTAGCTAGACTCTCAGATACACAGGCGCCGCGGGGAACAACCCGCTCGCGCCTGCCAGGCTGCGCTGTCGCAGTGTTCGTGAATGTGTTTAATAACGCCACGCTTGTCAGCTTGGAGCACGGAGTTGCGCACCGTGCCAGGGTTCCGTCTGCTGCGGTCACTGGTCGGGTAAAAGTGGCCGGTCGATAGACCGACCCGCTCCTCGCCGATACGCACAGTTCCCAGCTGTTCAGGCGGGGTCAGGTCGGGTCACTCATACCGAGGCCGCAGGGTGACGTCCGGGAAATACTGCGTGCAATGCAATTACTTGTGTGTGCGTGTCTGTGTGGTGTGTGCATATGTCGTTTGTTTTTGGCGGAGTTCAGCCTCCGCTCTAGTCAGGCTTGAGGACGGGGGAGGGGGCACTCAGCCCCGCCCCCTGACCTCCAGGGAGGGCGCCATGTTTACTCACAGATCGCTCCGGGGCGCCGCGCGCCGTCCCGTCTATTTCGGGACCTCACAGCTCGAGGTTTCGACGCTGCCGCAATATACAGCCAGTTATGTCGTGAATTGGAGTGTATTCTACAGTCATGTCACGGCAGGTTACACCGGGGAGCATCTGTCTGAGCGATAGCTGACGTCCCATCGATTATGTCACTCGCTGCCGAGATGAACAGTGGTAGCACATGGCAACATCACCCCGTCTGGAAACAAGGGCGCGACAGCTGTTACCTTGGTAACCGGAGCTGGTGGTGTCTGGTTGTAACCGGTACCACAGCACAGCACAGCGCCGATCCGGGTCATACCAGTTCAGCGCGTCTCGGGGACAGCACACCACACCGCTAACCTAAACACCCGCCCAGGTTCAGACACACGAAAGCACACCAGGCGCCTGCAGCGAGAGACAGCATAAAGCACGCGCTCGGTCAGCACACGACGCCGGACAGCGGGCTGGCCATCTGCGGCGACTGAAAACATACCCTCTTGCCAGTGAAAACGAGCATACGAAACACAGGTGGTAGACTCATGCCACTTGAGCGCTCACTCCACCGATAGCTACAACACGATAAGCTAAATGTGTAGAAAACCATCCGTCTCACAATCGACAAAAGACAACTAAACGAGTAGAAAACCCCTCTCACACGGCTGAACACGCAGCTCTATTTGAAATCACCTATAGTTCGTTTTTTTTTTTCTTCAAAAGGACGCTGGCTCCAAGTACGTTTTTCGAACAAGCACGTGTTTTAGCGAGCAAAACGGGCAAAAACTCAACCTGAGAAACTCAAACGTCGCCTTATTTTAACATGTGAATCATTCCCGATAAATTTCATGGCTGAGTTTTGGAACTAGACATGAGAACAGTGGTGACGTCATGCTGTTGAACCTGCATTGCAATGCAATGCATAACTATCATGAAAGAATCGCTTACTCGATTCGGGCATCGGTAAGAGCAAAATACGAAGTTTTCCCAAAGTTCGTTGGCAATGCATGACTTCGAACGGACATAGGGTGTCAGCTGCCACCAGTGACGTCATCATAGTTTGCTCATTTTTGAAGTCACAATTTCCATGTATTTACCGAGCACAATTTGAAATCGATCATTTTTTCGGCAAGAAATTCTTAGCCAGACGCTGAAGTTGCCAAAACTCACGTGAGAGCTTCGATAATGAACTTTGAGCCAGCGTCCTTTTGAAAAAAAACGAACTATAGCACGCTGCACTACCCCCTACCATACAAACCCTATCCTCCACCACCGCTTAACCACAACACACATCAAATTTCCCACAAACAGAGCAGATGATCGTAGAAGGAGCACGTTACTGCCACACTGGTGTCACCGCTGGAGCACTCTCGATGCCGTTCAGTGTCACCATCACCACTCACCACATCACCACCGTCACCAGCAGCGTCACCATCAGCGGCGCCAGTGGTTAAGCCGTCTGTGGCGGGCGTCCTGTCGACCATCTCCTCTCCACTGCCACCGCCGTCCAGCCGACACCAGTCCGCGCCGTACACGATGCTCTTATGCTCCAAGAAGCTGGCCACCACGGCGCCGGCTGCGTCAGTCACGTGACTGCCTCCGTACATACAGGCGTTGAGCACGTGATCGGCGCGGCGCGGGTGGCGTTTGATGCGCCACACTCCGCCGGGCAGAGGCGCACGCTCCAGCGGCCGACGCATGGTGCGATCGTCCCACGTGTACAGGTGCTCGTCGTAACTGGGGAGGGAAGGGAGGGTCAGACAGGGGGATGGGGAAGCCAGTGATACACGGAGACGGGGTCTTGAAATGGGACATCCGACGGGTCCGATGATAGGTAGGATTTCAGCCTAGAAGGGATAATATCCTTAAAAGACAACAACAGCGAGACAAAAAGACGAGCTAGCAAATCATGAAGTCAAGAACAATATTGAAGTCAGTGATGGTTGTCGAATTACGATAAAACAGTGGTCTGTCTCATTTCAAGCAAGACTAAGCTGGCAGAGGTGGTGAGACCCTGCCTTCTGACTCTCGGCCCTCTGCGAGTGTTCCACAATGAGGGTCAACAAGAGGGCGGTCTATCCTAAAGAGGAACAGAGGGACGTAGGAAGGAACGGATCTGCCGACGCGTAGTGTATAATATGTGAGGAAGCTCTGTACCCTTGAAGGCGTAATACAGAAATGTCATACCTGCCGGTCCGCAGGGTGTGCTCCGTGAGGTAGTCGCTCTGCACGCTCGTCACGCCTGCCTCGTGACTCCGGTTGGTGAACACGGGACAGGCCGGGTCCAGTCGGATGTCGTAGCCACGGAACAGCAGGTCGTCTCCGCCTGGAGAGACAAGGTGCGATAGATCAATCAAAAGCAGTTTGGCTGGTAATTGTTCGACAAAATGGAGAAATTGGGTCCCTGCTAGGCTGAGATGGTTGTTGCCCCATAATTGTTCCTTCTTCACATCGTAACAGTTCTCACAAACTATTAGATTTTTCAGTTAGCTATATCATCAATTTTCCAAACCTCAGGTAAAGCTCCCCGAAAGAAAACTATGAGCAAAACCAGCCAAAGCTCAGGCATCTACCAAGCCGTCCGCTCCCTCTCTGCGACTTCTAGCTCATCAGTCAGTCATACGTCTCGCTGCCACCAGACGCCGCGGCCCTGACTCACCAGTGTACACCACGTTTCCATCCGAGTGTTTGAAGCCGCACGTCCAGGCCTCATGTCCGTGGCAGACGTTTGTCCAGAGGACGCTCAACTCGCGGCCGTCCTCCGCGAGCTGCAGCACCGTCACCGCGCCAGACGAGTCGCTGACGGCCAGCCGCGCGGGACCCACCGCCGGCGAGCACCACTCGAGCGCCAGCGCCAGCCGGCCGGGCTCAGCCACCGCGCGGCTGACTACCGGCTCCAGGCGCGGTCCGGTCTCTCCCTCCGTCAGTCGGAACAGCAGCAGGCGGCCGCGCGCGTCCGCAGCGGCCACCAGCGGCCGGCTGCTGACCGGCGCCGGACTCCACTTGACGTCGAGCACGGCGGCCGTGTCGAGCCGCTGTAGCTCGCGGCGCCGGCCGCAGTCGAGCAGGTGCAGCCTCCCATCGCGCTGACACTCTGCGGCCGGGGGGGGGGGGGGGGGAGCGACGGTTAGTTGTTGTGTCGGACTACGGCCAAAGATGGGGTGAAGCGAGCTCTTCGGCATAGGCATCGTTTTCGCGTTATACTCGTAAGTAGGTAGCCATTGCTTTAGCTTTCCAAACGTTTCTCTTTCGATTGTATCAGTGTGATGTAAATGATGGGTGGGAACGCACACTTCAATTTTTATTTCTCATGGAAACCCCTGGCCCCTCCCACTCAGCAAAACATAAAGGGTTCTGTTGAATTTTCAGTCATGAGTGTTGTATTTTGAAGAGAAACACATATTGAGCCGATAAAATAGCACACAGCGTCACATATCCAAACAGGCACCAGCATCATCAGTTTCATGATGAGACACAGATCAGGTATCAGGTAATCCACCAATGAGCGATTGGATCGTAGCTTTGATTCAGTGTTTGTAAAATACAATACGCAAATGTGGTTAGTCTGTAATGTTTTCATTGATGCGACTGCTACGAAGCAAACCCAGTCATTCGTGAAATGTAAATAAATAAATGCGGAATCGAACTTCAACGGCTGATTGTTTCACGTAAGACTGTTATCTAAAAATGGAGATGACATCATTTACACATTATAGCCGCCGTTACCACAGTCAAACAGAGCACAACACAGAGATCGGCGTCAGTGACTGGTCATCCAATGCAACATCGGCACCACATCCCACATTGCCTAGGACAGGGTCAACTGTCAAGGATCAGTGAGGTTAGACAGAGACAGAGTTAGCTCACAGTATTGACAGTAAGACAGGGCCTGTTCGGGGAAGGGACCGGGTATCTGAGCGGGCGCACCTTCCGGTGGCGTGTCGGCCGGCTGGTCCTCCCGCAGTCGGTAGGTGCCGCACAGCAGCAGGTGCCGGTACGGCGGCGTCGGACAGAACTCTGCCGTATCCGCCGGCCACTCAGAGTCCCAGCGCCACAGCACCGCCGGCACCGCGTCGCCGCCGGTCTCCGCAGACATGGCGGCGAGAGAAGGTCCGCGGCTCACTGCAAACAGCAGCGTCACTGGACGTCCACCGGTCGGGTACCGAAAGGAAATGTTTCTTTACTGAACACTAAGGAGAGTATCCCGATACTAGAGCAGTCACTAATCACTACGCGTCACTGCGCCTTGGTAGCGTCACGTCACACACCGCTACGTCCTCCGGTGCGGACTGCGGAGTCGCCGTCACGGCGCCGCTACTGGTCGTCCCGACTCCTCACGACTTGGCACTGCGCTCCGTCTCGATGAGGCACTCGCGGACCAGGATGCGCGCGTGTCCGATGCCGCGTTTCAGGCGCTCGGCGCTGCTTTTGCTGCCCGAGTAGGTGGGTCGGATGTCGCGTCCCATGTCCTCAATGACGGCCAGCAGCTGGGAATACTTGGACTGCGCCGGCGGCTGGCGATACTGGCCGGCGGCGGCGGCGGCTGGGTCGAACGCAGTCTGGTTCGGAGTGCCCGGCTTGAAGGCGGGAGACGCGGAGGCGGAGCGGTCGTCATCCATGGTTGACGCGCCCCCAGCACCACTCTGAAAAGAAAGGGAATACAGCTGCGTGAGACATCGGCAACAAAACACGTGACTACTGGCATATCACAATTGCCTGCAAAGTGATCACACCCACACGTCTCTGGTGTCGAGCAAATGTTGATGTGCGCACACTGGAAACCAGCCCAAGGACACAGCGCTGACACCCGGTGGGTCACTGGGAAATGATGGGGGAAACGGGCGCCACAGGCACACCATGATCCGAAAGTGCAACCGCAAAGCTAGCGCGTAAATCACACAAAACCAAAGTACCGGTCAGCCCACGCCCTGGTATTTATCAGCCCATAACTCAGTGCACACGGCAATCTGTAGCGGTCAGCTAACCTCGGGCACGTCACGGCTACCCCCGGGCTCGGCCGCACCCGCCTCAGCGGACCCCTTCGCCTCTTCACGGCGCTCCAGAGAGCAGGCGGACATCACGCTGAGCATCTCCAGCATGTTCCTCTCGTTGTCGAGCCGCTTGCGCTGCCGCTTGTCACGGTCACGCCCCCGGTTCCTCTCCCGCTCCGACCGGTACGAAATGCTACGCTTGCGTCGCACCATCTCTCACGCGGTGCTCAGGGCGGGTGCCCCGTCGAACTGGACACCGGGTAACTCGGCAGAGAGAAAACGTAGGGAAACGCTAGCACCCCACAGACCAAACCGTCGAGGGCAGATAACGGCCACAGCGCGCACGAATATGCCAAACATGAAAATTTGCAGTTCATCTCCGACTGGCACGTGAGCGACCGCCAGTTATCAGTGGCTGCACGTGTATTCGTGTAAGAGCACCTCCACTCTGAAAGCACGTCAGCTCATAGGTCACAGCAACGGCGACATACAGAGCAAATACCACACGTTGCATTGGTGAGCCGAAGCCTTGGTCGGCAGCACAAATGGACCGTAAAACGCACAGGGCGCGAAATACGTCGTCCCGCTTGAAGGAGCGTGCACCTCGGCAACTGAAGGTCGGACTGAGGCCATGGTCCTCTCTGAGCTCGAACTGTGAACTTATTATATTTTCCATTGAGCAATGGTCTAACTGCTAATGCGCAGCCGTCCAGACAAAGTGAGAAAAATCAACTTAGAAATGCTCGCATTCTTCAAAATCTTTCTGACCATAGCGGACGGTTCCAGTGAATAACTGATGACCCACAGGTGGGCTACGAAGGAGCGCCAGCTTACAGTGCTGAAGTCGGCAGCTCCGACCGACCGACGGGGCCTCAGTCGCTGACCGCTGACCTGACCGCTGATCGGTGAGTCAGAGCGACTCTGCGGCTCGCCCGTTCTCAGTGGCACAGCCCGTTTGCGCAAGGCCGACAGACGTGTGAACTATTGGTGACCATTTCGCCGCACTTCTGGAGATCGCGGCCCATAATCGCGGCGGAGGTATATAAGCCCTCCAGCCGCCACCGACAGCACCAGTGACCGGCGTGGTACACCGCTGAAAACGACTAACCCGGCTCCGACAATCATGAAGGTACGAGCAGCTTGTGGTGGAGCGACCAGCAACCCAGGGTGCTCGGGATAAAACCCATTCACCCGCCGGTGCAAAAAGCACCACATATGGAGCGCGCTGTATCATCGGAGGCAGGGCACCCTGACTTCACCCACCGCACCCAAACTCTCCAGCTGATCGTCTAACGTGTTCGCAGGTGGCGCTGTTGACCGTGCTCGTGGTGGCAGCTGTCTCGGGCCAGTACCCGGCGGCCCCGACCGCTGCTGGGTACAAAGGTACCCCGTCCGCTGCACCTGCCCGGTACCAGTCACAGGTGAGTTATCAACTCCACTCTTCACTCGGCTCCACTCGGTGTAACTTGAGTGAGACCGTCTCGAGACGGACGTGCTTCAGAAGGTCCGTACAATCCAAACATATGACAATACCACTGTTCAAGACACCGAACTGAGATTAGCTTCTCTTAATTCCTCGCTCAGTTTTTACCAGTAGAACCACGACCAGCGCTCAGCCAGGTGGCCGGTAACACTCCCCTCTCGCCGGCAGGCCGGGCCGGCCCAGTACAGCTACCAGTGGGCTGTGGACGAGGAGGCTAACCGGTACCAGCACCGCGAGAGCCGCCAGGACGTCAGCGCCGAGGGCTCGTACTCGGTGGCGCTGCCGGACGGCCGCGTCCAGACCGTCACCTACACCGTAAACGGAGACGGCGGCTACGTGGCCGAGGTCAGCTACGAGGGCGAGGCGCGCTACCCGGAGACCCAGCCGGGCCGGTACCAGGGCGCCGGCCACACCGGGAGCTACGCGCCCCGTCCGGCGACGCCCGCCGCTGCCCGCCCGGCGGGTCGGTACCAGAAGCCCGCCCGGTACCCGGCCCCGGCCAGGTACCCCGCCCCGGCCGCCGCCCGGTACCCAGCTCCGGCCAGCACCGCCACCCCCAGCACTAACCACGCCTACAAGCCGACCAGCGCCCCCGCCGCACCGCCCAAGACCAGGTACTCCGCCAGCAAGCAGGTCAGCTCTCCCAGTGAGGAGTACGGAGCGCCCCTGACCTCCTACCCTGCCTTCAACCCAGCCAGCACCCCCAGCGAGGAGTACGGAGCTCCCCAGGCATCCTACCCTGCCTTCAACCCAGCAAAGACCCCCAGCAAGAAGTACGGAGCTCCCCAGACCTCTTACCCTGCCTTCAACCCAGCCAGCACCCCGAGCGAAGAATATGGAGCACCTCAGGCCTCCTACCCTGCTTACAAGACGGTCAGCATTCCCAGCGAGGAATACGGAGCACCAGTCTCTAACTAAGCATTGTGCTATGAAATGATAATGTGTTGGACCAGTGCAGTCAACGAACCACCTCATTACTCCCTTATAACGTAGTGTGTAGAATGTATCCGTATTTATTCGTTATAACTTTAATATATTGTAACTGCATGTCATTAGAAGGTGTTTAAAGGGTACCACAGCAAAACCTACTGACGAAATACCCCGAAAAACATCTTAGATAACTTCAATGGCGTAAGCTGGCTATGAATCTCCGGAGCGTGCCATCCGGCACAGTATCCCTCCAGGCGCCCACTACTAGCGTCATCTACGGGCAGAAACTCTAAACAAAGCACAGTTGAAGATTTGAAGCAATTTGGTGCAAACTACTTGAGGCTATAGCAAGCAATACGAGGAGCGTATTCAATATTGCGCTACTGAACTAATAAAAAGAGGCGAGTCATACCTTCAGGTAATTATGGTTGTTGCCGCGTACTTAGTGTTATATTCAGTCTCAGAATAAAACCACATACAAATCGCGGTTTCAGAAATCAGAATCAGATCGAAAGTCGTCGTCGATCTGGAATGACAAGAAAGTTAATACAATCCATTGGTAGAGGATTGGCGCATAATTACCATGAAATTGTTCATGAAAGGAAACATTTCAAGGTCAATCAATCAATCAAATCAAAAATTTATTGAAAACCAATACAATTCAAAATGAACAATATTTATGAGCGATTGGTGCAAATGCTAACGCATAAATCAAAGCACCTCTCGCAAAATAACAAAAAGACACATCCATGTCTCCGACCGCCGACACAGGTCCAGTCTCACCACCTCAACCAGCTGATCGAGACGCACAGCCCGGCCGCGCCGACCACGCCCGCCGCGCCACAGTCAGACAGTTAACGCACGTTGAAACGTTTCGATTCGAACAGGAATCGTTGGAACAAGCGAGCGACCTCACTCCTCTCGCCGGTGCTAAGATTTGTGCCGTGTAGAAGAATGCGTATTTGCATGTGTTGTGGTATTTGAGAAAAATCATAGTGGAGCATATTGGATATCGATTCAAATAAATTGGCTCTGTAGAGTTGATATAGACTACAGTGTAAAACAAAATGATTCGTTGTTTCTGGAACGTCACCGCAGCTGCAGAAAGGTGTCGTAGATTTCTGAATAGAGAATAGGTGGGCGTTAAGCTCTGACATACCAACCCTGAGTTTCGTGTGCATAATGTTTCCTGTCTTAGTGCCCAGTGAATAATACACCGGTGGAGTCCGAGCACCGAGCCACCGGAGCACTTCACGCTTGAAAGATACAGGCGATGTGATCGTACGGAGGGATTCGGGAAGTTTGTTCCAGTCTCTGGTAGTGACAGGAAAAAAGGACCTTTGGTGAAGAGTGGTTTTGTTGGGAGGGAGTGAAAGTGTGCTTGCGTTTCTAAGTGTTCGCCTTGTTTCTTGTTGTCGAGTTCTTGGAAGAGTCGATACAATGTATTCTGGTAGTCTTGGGTCATCGTTGGAGTTTATTATTTTGTGGTACATTAATAGTCGATGGATGTCACGTCTTGTTGATAGCGTGCTCCAGCCTAAATCCAACAAGAGTTTGTTTGTCGGTGTTCTAAATGGCACGCCCGCAACTAGTCGTGCCCCTCTATTATGTAGCGTCTGTAGTCTCTGGGAGTCGTATAGCGTTAAATGTCGATCATATACAAGGTCACAATAATCAAAATATGGTTGGATATATGTCAAAAACGTTTTTTCAATAACATATCTACGAGTAGGGAGGAATTTAGCTACTGGATAAAGTCAGTTGGTGACATACCAGGGAAATAAGCTAAAATAGGAGCGCTCTATTTATTGCTCCTGCCCCATGTTGAAGAGATACCCCTAAAAGCGTGATCTTTTATCGGCCCTTACGCAGCAAGGCAGTAATTCTCAGACCGGTGGATGGTATCAATAGAAAGAGAATGCGTCAAGGATTAACATGAATTAATTAAAATAACATTAAAATGTAAATAAAGCGTGGAAATTAGTCCCAAACATAAGCTAATTATTGCTCCTACCTCGGCGACGGCGCTCCCCGCAGTCAGCGGAGAAGCTAAAATAAAAGCCACCATCCTTCTCCCAAGGCCCTATATACCAGGTAGGGTCGTCCGGCGATTCTACCTGATCGTGACGTCAGCTCGTGACGTCATCTGGGGGCAAGTCTTGAAGTCCCGTTTAAGTCCTATGCAAATGGGCGATTTTTGAAGCGCTGTAGAACAAACTCTGCTAAAGCTAGCACAAAACTAAGTGCATCATCGGAAAGCCGAGACATTTTTCTTTGAATTATCTAAGAAGCGTTTTTCACTATACCCATTAGTTTTTCCAAAAATGCGTAGAAAAGCCCCCATGCCTCCGCAGCCTCCCTTCCGCCGGCCGCCACGCCGCCGCGGTAGTGTAGTGGTTAGGATGCTTGCGCCGTAATCCAAAGATCGTGTGTTCGAATCTAGGCGCGGGTCGTACTTGAATCGAAATTGCAAGCAGAATATGTGTTTTTTCTTGATAAATCACTTATATTACAGCTAACCGTTCATAAAACTATCGATAACAATTGACTGAAACCCTAAATACAGAATACATTCTGATAAAACAAATTCAAATATGGCGGCCGTTGCGCCAGGCTCCGCCCCCGACTCCGCCCCTTCGTGTGACGTCATCTGTGCACTTGGACACACAGGGAGATAGGGGACGACATGGGCCTGCCTTCTCCGTAAGTCAATTTTAGAGCGGCCGAGTGGGCCCAAGTGGGCCGATGCGGGGCCACCAAACTGAGATAAGACGTGGCTAGCAATTGCAAACCGCCATAGAAATCAATATCTTAAGACGTACAATATGGGATGATTACTTTGAAGCTGGAGTGAAAGCATGAGTAGAGTGCAAGAAACGAAATGCATAGATTAGTTGAATTATGTACAATAGGCACAGCTCAATAGATGAAGCCATTTCTATGATGTTGACATTTGACATAACCATTCCTCTCCTCTCCTATGACCTAAGTGCATTGGCAGTTACCGGCATAGTTTTTGAGCACGAGTGTAATTCGCCATCGGACCGCAATGCGTGTTGCTAGGCTGCTGCAATTACAACGAACATACGAATACTGCCTTCATTTGTAGACGTTTGTTTTTTAGGCGGTCTTTGACGTACAAGGGGGCATACCTGTCGACAACTTGAGTTTCTCCGAATTTCAAAAACTCCCAGAATCTCAATTCCTTATGCACTGTTGTAGGTACAGCTATGTTCACAAGTTTTCGTTTCCTCCTGCTCTAAAAAGGATGATATTTGTCGATTTCGTGCGTCGCTGATAGGAGGGTGCGTTTAATAATTAGGCCCAACGCTTTCTGCATCCGCGAGTACCTTCAAAAGGGAATAACAGTTTCCATTTATTTCACTATGGGACATGTGACAAAATGACCACTGGAACACGCATGAAACGGAGCTCATATTCCTAAAAATGTCTACAATCACTTCCTTTCTGACACTATTAGCAAATACCATCTCAAGTTAGGTGGTTGACGGACAGTCAATGGAGATCTGGGGAGACTGAGTGATGCCAATTCACCACTTAACTGATAATGAGGGCCGAGGGAAGAGAAACATGCAACATGCACAACTGACAACTTGACAAGTGACAAAACACTACCACTATTGCGCAGTGCACAACAAATTACAGCAGCCAGCCCAAAAATGCTTTTGGTGGCTAATTGCAAAACAAGTCACTAATAAATGTCTTAGTTGCAGCTGAACACTGCACAATGATCACACTGTTCACGCAATGAGTGAGATGCCACAGGTGGTTTGAATCACACTTTGGTACAACTGCAAATCTGAAGTGTTGTCATGAGGTTCATGCCTCCACGATCACAGCACTTTGGTTGTGGTTGGCATAACACTTGTAGTCTGCAGAGTTCCACATGAACTGCAGACACCTCATCTGGTGGTCTTCGTTGCTCAACTTCTTCAGGAGGCAAATGTCGACCACCCAGCGGAAGCATGGTCCTGCAGAAAAGAAAGGTAATGCATAAGGTACAAACAGTATCTGCTGAAACAGCCCCTTCTGTTGGCTGTTATTAAACTTTTAACATAACATAAAAACATGTATTCCATGTATATTACTCTGTTGAAGTAAAATACTGCCTGCTATTTCAAAACCAGAAAATGAAATTATATTGTGGCATAATTCACATGCTCAGCTATCAGTATCAAATAATAAATTGATTTAAAATTTGACATATTCTATAAAACACATTCATAGAATATTCTACTTCACGTCACAAGGACTCACAATCTTTCTGTTGGGTGTTTCATTGACGCATTAACTAAGTTTGTCTTAGGTTTTATTATTGCAAAAAAAGCATATTGCATTATTGTATCAAAATACTGCCAGCAATAACAAAACAAGAACATGAAATGTCAATGAGCAAACCGCCTTTCCTAAAAATGGGTTACTTTGAAAATAATTTTAGTTTCTTTTAAGGAAAAGGAGAAATGATTATCAGGTAATTATCAGAAAACCACTCAACCAGCTGGGTGGGTGGTTTCACAGCAAACATCAAGCCAAAACATATACTTACATTTATCTAACAATTGAGCCATTTGACTACTACAAGGATATGTGAGCAAAATAAGAATCCAATCATCCAATGTTAGCTTCCTTGCAAAGTTTATGCCTTATTTTATGAAAATGTGTCACTAGAATATGATACTTGTCATCGAATATTATTTAATTTACGATTTATTTCGATCGAAACGCACATGAAGTCCCGCGCCATTTTCGTCGACGATGAATATGATCGTGTTTCATGAAGAGATAAGGGGTTTCAATGGTCTTTCAAAGCAATAATTTGATGCAAAAATTTGTAGGAAATAATATCAAGCTGGTTCAAATGGCAATCAACCATTTAAAACACCGAAAATACTCACAACTCCGTCCCGACGACCACACAGCACCGCGCACGCCACACTACTGGCACAATGCCAAAACTGCTGTCACAGCAGAAATGTTTTTTTCTCGATTGCAATTGTGGAATTATTTATAAAACAGAAGATGATCTTTCCGAAAAACCGACTGATTTCATACACAGATGCATGGAAAATAAAAAAAATCCCGGTAAGTTTATTTGTATTGTTTTGTCGATTTTGACATGCTCCTAGTTTGCAGCCATATTTCGATATGTTCTACAGGGAGTTCATAATTATTTCAGGACCAATCTTTTCCTCGTTCATTTTCCCGTCGATCATGAAATTTTTAGAGCGGAACAAATAGTTTCCAGGCGGTCCGAGCGGTTTTCGTGAGAAGGGTGCAAAAATCGGCGTCATTTTTAGAGCCTCGACACCAGCTCAACACAGGACCCTATGGGAGACGGTGAAGTAGCGGGAGCAATAAATAGAGCGCTCTAATTTTAGCTTATTTCCCTGGTGTGTCACCGACTGAAGTGGGCTCATGGCTCTGTTAACTTTTTGCAAGATCTCATTTACATGCAAATGAAACCTTAGGTCTTTTGAAAATATCAGACCCAAGTGTTTATGGTTATCTTCTTCTTTTATATTCAAACCTCCAAAGGTAAGCTGTAGTGGTGATGCATCTTGCTTAGTTGAAAATGTTTGTTTTACAGTTTTTGACTTATTGAAGTTGATGAGCCATTTATGACCATATGCGTGTATGAGGTCCAAATCCGTTTGGAGTGATTGTCTTGTAAGGTGTTTTTCTCTTTCGTCATATGGAGCATATACAGTAATGTCGTCCGCAAATAGCAAAACATCATTAGTCAGGTTTTCGGTCACTGCGTTCAAATACATAAGGGCAAGTAAAGGGCCTAAAACCGAGCCCTGCGGGCAGCCCGCTTTTAGACTTAGTGATGCTGACATGGTATCACCCGTATCACCGACTTTCACTCTTTGGGTGCGATCTTTGAGATACGACTTTATCCAGTGTAAAAGACTATCAGTTATGCCGAATTTGTATTGACATTTTATAAGCATCCCCTTATGCCATATTCTATCGAAATATTTGGATATATCCAAGTAAATTGTTGTGAAATGATTGCCCTTGTCCAAGTTCGAATAAATGTTGTGTGTTAAGTGGAGCAATTGGATTTGGGTGCTGTGTCCCGGCCTATATCCACTTTGACTTTGTGTGAGAAGCTGGTGATCGGTGAGATGCTTGTAAATGTGTTTGAAAACTATTTTGCCAAAGACTTTAGATAAAGAAGGGAGAAGACTTATCGGACGATAGTTCGTCAGTTCTGATGGCGATCCTTTCTTTTTGTAAATGGCGTGTACGTTGGCTTGTTTCCATATTGAGGGATAAATGCCCAGCTCTAAGGATTTATTAAACAGTTTAGTAAGTGGTTCGTAGATGAGTATTGCGACAAGCTTTAGGATTTTTGGAGGAAGCTCATCTGAACCCGAAGCTTTGTTAGAGTCAAGAGAATTCAAAGTTCTTAGAACTTCCTGGGGAGTTATCGCAATAGATCTCAAAGATGGTGCTGTCTGTGCGTAGTCATTCAACGGGATATAATCTGCATTAACGTCTATATGTGATTGTTTAACAAAATATTCGTTTAGAAGCTTGGCTTTGTGAGCATCCCCCGTCACAATGTTACCTTCTGTGTCTAATAATGGTGGTATGCCTTGTGTTTTGGCCTTCCCAAGGACAGTTTTGAGAGCATTATGGTATTTGTAAGGTGAATGTTTGTTTTGGAGAAGATAATCTACTTTACCGCGAATGTAATGTTCTCTAAGTCGTTTGTTTAAGTCCGTTACATAGTTACGTTGCGCTTTCCATCTCTGCCAGTCCGAGTTACGTTGGCGCTGCTTAGCTTGTCTAAAGAGTCTATTCCGTTTTCTTATATTGCGCAGTAGCTCTGCTGTTACCCACGGTTTATGCTGTTTATCTGTACGTAACGCTTTAATTGGAATAGCTGCCCTCGCCGCTTGTAATATGGCAGAAGTGAAGTTTTGCGCAGCCTTATCGATATCACCCTCGAGTATTGTGTCCCAATCTGTGTCAAGTAGTAACTGTGTGAGGAGGCCTGAGTTGAGTTTGGAGTAATCCCACACGTTGATAACCTTATTCTGAGCATTTTCCAATTTTGCTATCTCAAGTGTTGCGAAGATCGGGAAGTGGTCAATCTGAGAAAACGGTGAAAGAACACCGCTGTCAACAATCATTTCCGGCTTACTGGTGAATAAAAGATCACGAAGATTTCCAATGTCCCTTTCCCACCTAGTTGGCTCATTCATAAGCTGGGTAAGGTCTAGTGCGTCTGTGGCATCTTTTAGTTTAACGTCGAATGGTGTTATACCACTATTGATTTGTGTAGAGTTGTGAAGAAATATGTTGCCTACATTCATATCGCCTAAAATAATGATAGATGCTGGCGAGCATGCTTGTGCAATGGTTGTGCTCTCAGTAAGTCTATCAATGAACTCTGATTGTCGTTGTACAGTTATGTTGGGAGGAAGATAGATACAGCAAATGATCAGTAGGTAACCACTTATATTGACCTGTACCCAGACCCAATCTTCTCCCTGAAGTTCAAGATCACTTCTGCGTTTAATTGGTAACGATCTGTGGGCATACAATGCAGTGCCTCCACCATGGCGATTACGGTGATTTGTAAATGGCGCATGTAAATTATCTAGATGGTACAGGCTAGGGTGAACGGTACTGTCCAGCTTAGTTTCGGTGAGTGCTAGAATGTCAATATCATTTATGGTGACAAACTGGCTCAACTCAGCCAGTCTATGAGGCGAGGTAATGCTGTTGATGTTCACATGTGATATCGAGACGTTATCCTTCGGGTCTGGTCCTGGGTTGGCTTCAACGCCTTCAATTATGAGGATTAATCGAATCTGATTGTATCTGTTTGCGTGTTTCCATTGAGAAAGTGATATGAGAGATCCACTGAGAAGATGATAAAGGATAAAGGGAGGATGCGTGAATGTTACCCCGGCGGCCCGGTGTCCTCCTCCGACCAGGCGGACTCGCAGATGTAGATGTCGCAGTGTAGTTGTGAGTGTAGATGTCAGCACCGGCGGCAGGCGAGAGGTCACCGCCGGCTCCGGGAAGCAGTCTGGGCGAGGCTCGGCTGCGGCGGGCGGTGGGCGGCGCCGCACGACCGTCAGCAGCGAAAACTGGTGGCAAGACATAGAGGCCATGAAGGCGATGGGCGACACACACGAGTACATGGAACAAAAAGGCAGCACGAGCGAAACTGAGGAAATCACAAACATAAACTTAAATTAACATAATTAAACGAAGTAGCAACAACATTAGAGTTTAAAACCGTGTTCACAAGATCACCAATTATAACTCAAAACAGGTGAGTCAGACAGACTACTGAGTACTGACAGTCGGTAGGAGTATCCCACTCAGAAAAAACTACTCCCACGACATTATAGGACTAAGGAAAACCCTACAAAGTACAAAACAAAAGAGCATGGCTCCGCCCCGCCCCTCCCCTTCCCACAACAACGGTATCAATCACAATAGTAACGACTGGTGGCTCTCCTCTCGGATTCCATCTTCCCTTCATGTATCACGTTAGACTACCGCCCCACATGTGAGCTATGTGCAGCCCACCTGCGGCCGCGGCAATGTCCGCCGGACAAAAGTTGGCGGAACGGGACGGACTCAAAGCAAGGGGCATTCGCGACAATACCGGGCCGACTCAGCCGGGACACGTTCGTCGGAGGCTGACCAATCAGGGGGCTCAGGGAAGGCGCAGCCATGTTACGCTACATCTTAAAACTAAAGGTACTTATCCCTTTGAGTATTCGAAGGGTTCGACTCTCGATGCGCTGCTCCTCCAGGTGTCGCCGGCCGCTCAGCGTCGCCCGCCGGTGCGATTCCGTCTGGCGCCGCCCCTGGCGCTGCCTCTGGCACCGGCCCGCTGGTATCCGTCGGGGTCCCGGTCAGGGCCGGCTTCGGCGGCCGGGGTGAGCGGCTCCGGCGGGTCACCGTCGGCACCGAGCCGAGTAGAGGCCGCCGGGATGTTGAATTCCGGTGCGTCTCCCACCTGCTCCCGCAAGTCTTCGAGGCTACGGATGACTCTCGTTGGGCCGTTTGCCTGAAGACGAATCTTCATACGGCAGTTGTCGGTCCAGGCTGAGTGGATTTTGCCGCGTTTCTTCAACTGTCGCGCAACGTACATCACTTGTTGGTTTGCCTTGGTGAGATTCTCTGCGATGAAGATACCTTTAAGTATCTCGGGACCGAAGGCCGACGAGCGTGCCGACCTGAGGTTCTTCCTTGCAGCATATAGCGCATCTCGACTGCTGTGGGAGGACATCTTGACGATAATGGTGCGACACTTGCCGTCCTGCTGTCTGCCCAGTCGGTGGCTGCAGTCGATGTCAGTGGGTCCGAGCGTCACTCCGGCAGCCGCGGCCACGTCTCGTACGACCCGGTCCGTCGACTCGTTCTCAGACTCCGGAATCCCACTGATGTTGAGGCAGGACCGTCGAGAGTACTGTTGAAGCGCATTCAATTCACTTCTCACCTCTCTGAGTTCCTGTCGCAGCTCAGCGATCTCACTGTCTCGCTCGGCGATCGCCTCCGAGACTAAGCTCTTGATAATGGGTGCCATCACTTCCTCTCTCAGAAGCGTGAGGAACGCCGGATCCTTGATGCACTCCATTAAGGAGACTTTAATGTCCTCGTCGGACATCGTGCGTGTCGCCCACCGCTCACTATTCACTTAACTGGGTCACTGTCCCGCCGGCTCAGGCTCCGGTCGCAGAGGCGGCCAAACAGCTGAGCGTCCGGAGAGGTCACAGGGGTCGACCGTCCCCGGCGCCGGTCGGGGCAGAACGTATAAGGTAAATATATCAGGTTTATAACATGTTTGGGGTGCGCTTATCTGGTGCCAGCGGTGGGATGATGCAAAAAAAAAATGTATATAAAACAAGGGGATGTGCTTCAAAGCTGGCAGCAGCACACATCAGCAATCCGCCCAGTGAAGCCACTGTTCCGACGTCACTGCGGATAAAGTTCGCCAATGCCGTCACTGGCACTCATCAAAGCTTGGAGCTTAGGGCCGGCGATCTGTGGATACTTAAGATCCTGACAGCCCGGCCACGCAAAACGTCATTAACTGTAAATCGACAGACTTCTAACAAACAATGCGAGCGACTTTGCACCATAAACACATTTTCATTTGGACATATATTGCCAAGACAACCAAGAATTAAACACCAAACAGTTCGTGAACTCTACATACGACACCCTAAGGTATTGTCCTACATACGACCCCCTAAGGTATTGTCGTAAGTCCTAAGGTATTGCCGCGACCCCTAGACATCCCTAAGCGTTGTAAGCCATGGAAGACGTTTCTAAGGCTAGCCACACGTACCGTCACGGGTCTGGGTTCGCCCAGACACACACTGCACCAAAAGAGGTGCCCAAGTTCCACTTGGGATGCACCACACGCATGCAACTACCATCTAACCTTCAACCCATATGGGTCAGCGCTGTGACAAGCTCTTCATGGTAACGAACTGTGCTGATTCAACGTAGTTCATCGCGCAAAATCAGTCCAATTGAATCAATGCGAAGTCATTCCAAGATTTTGCCCGTTCAATATTGTCGGTTTCACAAAGGCATTCTAGCTCGTAAGACCCAGCCGTGAACTTAGCCTCTTCGATCGAACTGCACCCAACCAAGAGTGAGTTCACCCGAGTTGATCGACGGTAAACAAACTCCTCCCGAGCTAATACCGTGACATTGCGTGCAGCCGGAATGGAGTATCATTGCCCTTCAACCCGTATGGAGAGCCTGGCGTCAGTCTAGCACTGGCCAGTGACAGCCAACTAGCGTGCTGCCAACTCACTAACAAACGTGGATGTGCAACCATTTGGCAGTTGAGACAGAGCTCCAGTGAAACAAACTTCTCGACAGAGAAAAAGGAAACTGATTAAAATGGTTAACGAAATGCACAACGTTGCGCAACAACACGAGAAGAATGACGCTAAAACAACCACCCTTTTCTCATAGCCTTGGCAAGATGCGCGCACCTGATTATTCATAAACATCATCCAATGCATAGCTACGGATTACTGCAAACAATTGAATGCAATGTGTCAAAACGAGTATTTTGATTACCCATTCACGAATCAAGGCCCTATAACATTAACCAGCGTCATACTCAAAGACGCATAGCAAGAACAAATATTAGAGTTTTGAAATGACAATGATTGTTTCACGTAGTTTATAAGTCACGATTCGATTCAAACAGCAATGCTTTTCACTTTTCGTTTAGATGGAGAATTATGATGTGCCGTATTATTACTTCGGTGCATAATGCATATGTATGAATATGGTAAACCCGGTAAAATTGCACCTTTAAGTAGTTAATCACAGCATGTTTGAGCTGACCTGTTACTATTTCCTCATCCATATCAAACCAATGCGTACCTAACTAGCTACATATTCAATTAGTCGACTTAACCAAACCTGACTTGATTGATTTTAATTTCACCGACAAATCTACATAAATTCGAATGCATTTCAGAGGAATGTAACTTCATCCAATGAAAATCCAATGATCCAGCCTATCGTTCTGTATGCCCCTCGGCGGTGAGCAGTGGCCAGTGGGTCCATTGCAGCACGTCCGGCCGTCTACAGTCCCTTGTTGAAGTAGAGCGCGTCCGGCAGCGGCTGTTGGCCGTAGCGACGGCGCAGCTCCTCGTAGCTGGCCGGCTCCAGGCGGCGCAGTGTCTCCGGCGAGATGCGACAAGTCTGCGGGAAGATGGCGCAGCCGACCGGCACCATGAGCAGCAGCACGGCGCCGGAGAGCAGCGTCTGCACGGGCGCGTGCAGCCGGCGCCGGCCGGCGTACCAGGCCACACGGTCCAGCCGCGACATCAGCACCGGCAGCAGCAGCATGCTCGGCGCCACAATCACGTTCCTGCTCACCAGCACCTGGGAGATGCCCTTGGCGGCGGCGACACGCGACACGCACGCCTCGCGGCCGGCCGCGTCGCGCACGGGCACGCCGCCCAGCAGCTCGCCCTGGCGCATCAGCGGCACGTTGATACAGTTGGACGCCACCACGGCCGCCAGCGGCACGAACCGCTGCGCCAGCGGCGAGGCGCGCGACGCCAGCACCCGCTTCAGGCCCAGGGCCGTGACCAGCGCGCACGAGGTGGCCGACACGTAGGCCACGCCCAGCTGGGTGGTCGACAGCGGGCTCTTGGCGTTGCGGTTGGTGAAGTTGACGAACGCGTTGAAGGACTGGTTGGCCCACTGCCAGAAGACGACGGCGGCGGTGCTGCGGTAGAAGGTGACCATGCCGCCGATCAGCACCATGCCGCCGGGTACCTGGAACGACATGCGTCCCACCACGTTCTGCAGCTGCCCGGTGTCCGGGTGAAGTGCCGAGTCGCAGAGCGCCTTGGCGCGCCACACCTGCTGCTCGGTGGTGTCGGGAGGCTCGGCGCCGGCGCGGTACTGCTCCACCAGGCGGCGGGCAGCCTCCACGTCGGCGGCGCCGTGCAGTGCCAGCAGCGGCGAGGTGATGCTGAAGAAGTGGCGCAGCCGGCCGGCGAATGTGCTCTGGTCCCAGCGCGGCCGGCTCAGGTCCAGCCGGCCGTCCGGCAGGCGCGGCGACTCGGCCATGGCGGCGGCCTGCCGAGCAACGGAGGCCACTGTCAGCTGCGCCGAGCGGGCCGCGGCCGGACCCCGACAGGCCGCCGCCGGCGCCCGGACCGACCCGACTCCGCAGTCCAGTCGGTCTCCACAGTCCACTGACCAGCGACCGTGTCACTCAGCCTCAGGGCCAGTGACGGGATTGTCATTTTTACTCTTGGACTCGAGAGAAATAAATCAAACCTGAGAATCGCCTATATTTTTTAACATCCAGCCATAATATTGTGCATTGAGAGAAGACATTAGTTTTTCATCACAAGCTGAAAAGGTCAGATGATTCCAGGTGCCAGAGTATATATTCGCAAGAGAGATCAAAATCTTTGAGACCGACTGAGGAACCAAAAAGGGCCAAAGGGTGTTAATTCCAACACTGCTAACTGCTAAGGGCCCACTGAAGTGGCTTAGATTAGGACACAGTGCCACACTAAGCAGGACTAGTTGGAAATGCCAAGAGCCTATTACCTACCAACCCTATCCCCGCCCAGATCATTGGTGATAATTCTAACAGACCGATGAGAAAGATCCAGATAAAGAAAGAGAAAGCAAAGGTTCTAGTGGTGTCAATCGGAGCTTGAATCTTCGGAATTCCAATTTTGTCCAATGTCCAATTCGGAATTCGGTTGGACAATGACAGCAGGCTTTGGACAGCTTTGGACAATCGTTTGCTACACCTCAGCATTTTCATAAAGTAATTGTGTTTAACATTGATTGGCTATTAGAAAACTCAGCTTTCGATATGAATACCACTTTTGAGCTGGTAACGATACATTAAAACCAAATTAAATAACGGTGTTGAGTGTAAACTATTGCGTAGATGTCGGACATCTTTGGGCAAATGGCTGGCTTGGACATTTTTGGACGGACATTCGACGTAAGTATTGGACATGACATATGTTTTCTGAAATTGACATCACTAAAAGGTTCAGATGCTGAGGATGGAGAATGAGTATTGAGCTGCTCTATCTGTGGTAATTGGAGCATCACAGGAAGTGAAAAAGACAATCAACTGGGCAGGGCTTGAGCAGTGTGGCATGTGGTCCCACAGCCACCTGCAGCCACCTGTGATGGAGGACAGGTAGCCTGTGGCTTAGGACATCTGTGACTGTTACTTTACCTATTTATAGTCACCGTGCATATTTGTAGCTCTGTAATGTGAGTTTAGGCCCAGAGCATGCAACTTTATTTTGATACCTCAATGATTCATAGTTTTACTGTGAAATGTGTGAGTTTTTGTCAAGCAAAGCCTTTAATTTTATTTAAAACATATAAATTGATCACACAAGCCCCTTCTAAAGGCTCCTATGGCACATGTAAGGTGATTTTAATGTAGTGATCAAAGTTATCCCAGCCTCTGGGTGAGAGTGGTCACTTTTTTTGTAAAATAAAATAAAATATTCATGATCAATTTTAAGACATTTACTGTGCTCAGTTAGATACTTGTTCAATTGGCATCAGTATGATGAAAAGTTTCCAGAGTGAGATCTCAAGTGATATAAACTATAGAAGATATTGTACCATACAAGTGTACCTAATGGTCAAAGGTGATACAATCACCCTGGTTTACGGTATAAATTGGCAAACCTAAGAAAGAATGGAGTTAAAGCGCCTGAATTACTTTGCATGTGTTTTGATCACTTGAAATGTATGATTCTGAGAAATGTGTGAAAAGTTGTGACAGAAAATATGCTCTCACAATATAAATGCACAAGCATCAACAGCCCCAGCCCCCAACACTTTTAATCCATTATTTCTTAGGTTTGCCATACTATAGTATTTCATTGTAAGGTTCATGTGCCCAGTGACTGACCAAATTAACCTGCCCAAAAACTTGACCAATCTTGAATCTCTGAGGGCCTGAGGCAAAAACAGCACAATTGGTCACAGGCCGGGTGTGTGTTTAAATGTGCTAATGCAGTGTGTGAAATATCACAGCAATTATTTCCACTGCAGTTAACTATTCAGTTTCACAAACACCCAAGCTTGAATAGGTAACCGTAGGTACATTGGTATATGTCAAGTTTAAGTTCTAACTACAATTGTGATGAGTACAATTGATACAAATTTGTAACAGCAAAAATTTTATGTTTTAGGTTAGGTAAGGTTGTAGGTTTTAGGTTGTAGGTAGATAGGTTTGAAGGTTTTAGGTCATTAGGTTGTAGGTGTGTAGGTAGTAGGTTGGTAGGTTATAGGTAAATAGGTAAGGTAAGGTCAGGTTTGATTGTGTTTTGTCTATTATTTGCGAGTCATATAAGTATCATTTTTTTATTCAGGATGTCAAATAATGTAAGAATATGAAGAAAAAAAATTACCCATGAAATCTGCTTAGGAATTAATCTTGACATTTACCAGTATTTCAATATGAACCGATATGGCGGATATAGGCAAGGTAAGTTGTTCCGAGGCTCTCAGACGCCAAAGATTCTATGTCGTCCAGCCAATCCCGTTCAAGGTCAGCTGGTGCTTGGCTGCCGTTATGGAACGGGATTTGCCGGATGATGTAGAATCCTTCTTCATCATCCGAGAGACTCCGAACAAGGGCTGGAATCTGAAAACAGGGTGCCTGCCGCCTTGGGCAATTTGATCAAGGCTCTTGAAATTATCACTTGAAAACCCTGAGCTTCAAGGCATTAAATGGTGGATAATTTCATAGTAAACACGTGACTTATATGCCTTCCGGCGCCATCGTCTCTTATTCCACCGAGCGCGGGTATCTGATATGTGCGTCGGTTTCGTCGAGGGCACGGTTTTGGGCATCCACAACTCTCGACAGGCCTTACAATTCCGGGTATAGGATGCAAACATATCATGAATGGTGCATGTGTAAGCATTGCAAAAACTTACCTTGAACTAGCTTCCTCCGTACCTATGGAAGTCGGCCTCCGGAGACCACGACCTCGACGCCCGCGCTTTTGTTGTTGACAGTCAAGCGGCAGCGATTCCCAAGGCGATTCCAAGGATGGAAGAATTACGGGAGTGTCTAAAAAGCAGACGAGATTAGCAGACGAGCCCATGCGCAGTAACTACTACACCTTTTTTCGTCCGAATTCACAAAGATGAAGTCCAAATTCACAAAGCTGAATTCCAAATTCACCAAGCTGAATTCCAAATTCACAAACCTAAATTACGAATTCAAAAGTCAAAAGTCCAAATTCACAAACAAAAAGTTGGAATTCAAAAAGATAAGATCGAATTTCAAAAAGCAAAAATGTGATTTCAAATAAGTAACAAGCAATTTCACAAACCAAAAATGCAATTTCAAAAAGATAATGCTGGATTTCAAACGTTGTTTCTTGTTGTTTTCTGATGATATGTTACCTAGCTCTTTTAACATATACCTACAATTTAAAATGACAAAATATTTTGTTTTTTTTTTTCGGATGTAAAAATAATGTTCCTATATCTTCAGAATTTGTCGGTTTTAGCTTATAGTGGATACCTAATAACGTGATAATGAGCAGAGTGGCCATCTGCAGGCACTGATCTCGTTGAAATAAATGCAAGGCAACGGACGGACAGTTTTATTTGCGACTTAGACAAAAACAACGCAAAGCTGCTTGTCTGACAACGCCGTAGGGCACGTTTGGAACTAAGCCACTACAAATCAGAAACATATCTTGAACCTCCATCACTCTCACACGCCCATCGCCAGGTCGGCCAGGGCCACGCACCCGGCATAGTGGCGCTGGACGTGATTGTAGAAGTTCATGCACATCACCGGGTTGATGCACTCCATGGCGGCGTCCATCTTGGCCTCCAGGTAGCGCAGCCGGTGCTCCTGCTGGGTGATGCCGTCAGTCGTGTCCATCATGGCGCTGAATGATGACGCCATGCCCCGCTTCATGTTCGCCTTCACTGCAGACCAGACAGCCTCAATCGGGTTCAACGGCGCGCTGTATGGCGCTGTCCGTACCAGCTCCAGACCAGGGAACTCGGCTGCAACTGCCTCCAGGTCACAGTGTACCGGCGCGTTGTCACAGACGATCGTCACCTGGTCGAGCGGCAGAGGGCAGGCCTGCAGGGCACGTCGCAGCCAGTCAGAGCAGTCCGTCTTCCGAAAGGACCCTCGTCGGCGCTCCCAGTAGATGATGCCGGTCTGCGACATCAGCCCGATGATATGGACGTTGGGGCCCTTACTGGTGGCGGCCTTCACCGAACATCGCAGGCCGCGGCGGGATCGGCCCTGAGAACGCCGCAAAAACAGGTTCGCGTTCGTTTCATCCATGTAGAGCACCGATCTCCCACTCCCCGTCGCCGCCATCACCTTTCGCACGTACTCGGCCCTCTTCTGCTTATTTGCGGCGTTGGTCATGGCCACTGGCTCGGCCACGACCTTCTTCATAGTAAACAGCTGGCCGTGCAGGTGGCGGTGGATGGTCGGGACGGATATGGTGACACCGGTGTCCTGGCGCAAATTGCGACCGATCTCCACGAGAGATATCAATGGATTCTCCTCGACGTAAGTGACCATCTTGTCGACCATCCCCTGGGTAACTTTCTTCTTTGTGGCACCGCCACGGGGACGCGGCAGCTGTCCTTCGGGCCTCGTAATGTACCCGTAGGCAGTGCGGACCGGAATTCCATTCGCTGTCGCAGCCGCCTTCCAGTCTCCACCTTCATTGAACACGGCCACGACCCGCTCTTGGGCATCCCGGGGGATCCGCTTGTACGGCCCACGCCTGGTGCCCGGCGGAGGGCCGCGCCTGCCTCGCGGCTGTGGTGGGCCGTCACCGCCACCGGCAGGTCCAGCTTCGTCAGGAGCTCCGTCAGGAACTGGATTTTCAACCTCTGTCAATTCTACCTCAACTTGCATATCCCCATCATGGTTAAAAAAATGGTCAACCTCCGTTGAGGACTGAGACATACCTGGCTACAATAAAATAAATCACAGCAAGTTATTGAGCAAATGAGGTAAGCATCTGTGAGTTCAACGTTCAGAATGATTCATGTGGGTTCATAAACAATTGTTGTAAAAAATCACGTGTTCCATGTGCTATTTTTGTTAAATGAGTTCCTCCAAATAGGAATATTACATAATATTAGCAGATGTATTCCTCATGCGGAAATTTATGTACCTTTTCTTATAAGCACCTCTTATAAAAATATAAAATTCAGGTGCAGCAGCTTTGTCTGTAGTTAGTTCAGAATATCTTTTGAAATCAAACATTATCTTTTTGAAATTGCATTTTTGTTTTGTGAAATTGCTTGTTACTTATTTGAAATCACATTTTTGCTTTTTGAAATTCGATCTTATCTTTTTGAATTCCAACTTTTTGTTTGTGAATTTGGACTTTCGACTTTTGAATTCGTAATTTAGGTTTGTGAATTTGGACTTCAGCTTTGTGAATTTGGAATTCAGCTTTGTGAATTTGGACTTCATCTTTGTGAATTCGGACGAAAAAAGGTGTAGACCGATTTTGATAGCTCTTTCACCATTCAATAGCAAGGAACTTTATAGGTGCCGTTTTTTCGTTTTTTGGCGATTGGCTCACTCTGACTGGACCAATCGGACCAAAATGGTCTAGAACCACAGACCACAGACATGGGCAGAACAGCCCATGCTCCAAGGGCGGATCCAGCCGGCCGTCTTGGGGGGGGGGGGGGCAACCGGTTGGGACTAGCCAAACCTAGGGTACCCCTAAATCTAGTTTTCTCACCGGTTTTAGGCCACTTATTTTTCACCCTTCGCCTTTTCATCGAAAAAAAAAAACGAAACGAAATTATTTGCAAAAAGTGAGATATTTTGTCTCAGCTGAGTCAAGGAACTACCTTTTTGGTAACGTAGAATAAAGGCTTAAATCTTCCACATGAGCTGTCAAGCCAGGTAAAGAGGGGGATTTTTTTCTTAAATGTTTTCTTCCCTTTAGTTTTCCTTTGTGACCCACAACCGCTAATTCAAGGAGGGCAAGCTGCCCCGACGGTTCCTAGCCCTATGAAAAGTTGTGGGCAGTGGCGGCGGATTCGATTTTGGCGTGGGGGGGCAAGATCCCAGTCGAGATGATGTCATAGGCGGATCCAGAAAGGCGTTTTCGACGCTGTAGGGGACATACCCCCCCCCCCCAAAGTGTCCAAAATCCAAAAACTCCTCGGATTTCGATTTCGATTACTGCTGAACAGTATAAAAAAAAAATCCTGATAAAAATGTAATTATTAGGAAACATAAGGTACGTTTTGTCTATTTCGGGCGATGCAGGGGCAGGGGGAGGGGAGTAAATATTTGCTTTAAATGCCCGCTCCCTGGATCCGCCAGTGGACGATGTAACGCATTTCGTATTGCTGTATTAGAAAAAAGCTCCAATGGGAAAAAATTGTGCCATAACCCGATCGCATATCAGATGTTGAAGAACGGTGCCAAACCTTTTGAAGTAGGCGAGCGCTGCTCTTCAATGAGGTAACTCGTTACCATTTCCTCTGTTCATTTTACGTTGGATTTTCGTTTAACTTTCTTTAAAAAGTATTTCTGAGACAGATATCAACTGAAACTAGCTCACAGCGGGAGGAGACCGCTCAAACATTCAGAGACAGTCGGTCGCATCTAAACCTATTGGGACAGCGATCCGCCAGAAACCCTCCCCAAGGCAGTAGTTCGCCAACTAAGCTCACCGAGACGGGCTGTCTCGATGGGTTTATACAGTAAGCCTACAGCAAGGCTTAACTAAGGCCCAAATGCTCGTCAAGCTGGGAACGGAGGGCTGAGGTGAGGGAGCGCGGCGGCGGGCTGGGGTGAAGGAACGGTGGACTGGAACGAGAATCCAGAAGCTCTGGGTGGGGCGTTTCTTTATTAGGGCTTTAGGGTGCGCTGACTGCGGTAAGGTCCAAATTATCACACCAAATTTTGCCATGACATCTACCGGTTCAGGCACTCGAGAATCAGCGGCCAGTGATATCTGCAAAGACGAAGCATTTCCAACCCAGCTTCAGCCTGGTGTCAGGGCGCCTCAGGTGGCTTTAATTACAGTTGCACATATCAAACGACCTCAGTGCAGCAAGTCTGTGGCCGAAACCATTCGGAACAGACTTCAAGGAAAAGTGAGACAAGGTTAGTGCTATCGTTAAGTGCCATTATAGACTTGGGCCCCGTTGGCTTGACCCACTGGAAGGTGGTAGTTATCGGACGCTGCGGGGCATACTCATTTTTTCCCAAAATGCCTTAGATTTTGCTTTCGTGTTCATGGGTGGCGGAACGGGGAGGGCACCGGGGCACCGTGCACCCTCCTTTTGATTTTGGCATTTTAACGTTAGCCCTATGGGCGTTGCATGGAAAGAATGGGACCAAAAGTCGGCAGTGCCCCCCCCCCCTTAATTGAAGGTGTTCCGCCGCTACTGTTCGTGTTTGATGCTCTTTATTCTATAGCCAGCCTTACGACAGAGGGGGGCCCACTAATGATTAGTGCCCTAACCCTCAAAAGTTTCCAACATTAATTTTTACTTTTTTAATGGTGAAAACTGAAATAAAGCGGATATTGAACTGTGAACATCCAGTTTTTACACTGGCCCCACACAAGCCTCCGAATGCCCAAAGCAGATCTCTGATGACTGGCCTTTGGGTGTCATACCATACCGTGCATTGGTCAATGTGGTCAATGTGTACGACCTCGGCGTTTACCATTTTATGCGCTGGAAACTGTTGCGCTCGAAAAAATCAGGGGAGTGGCTTATTATGCGCGCTCATCAGTCCTAACTACCCGCAAGCGAATGGCTAGCCCTTCCGTCTCCGCTCGCTTGCGATTTGGCATTTATGTAGGTACAAAATAGCGGCAAACGACCACTGAAGGTATGAGTTGCGTCTCTCGCACACTTAAAATATATTTAAATCGAATCTGAAAAGACAAAAAATGATATAAAGCGGAAATGGTTAGCATTTACACATATTCAAAAGGCACCGTTGGACAAACTGTAGGAGCGCAAAGCTGCAATATGGTTATGAAAATTACCACATGCAATAGAAAATATGCAATAGGCTATGAAAATTTTCCTCATGTTTAGGGCACAAATTATGGAGGGGCAAGAACATACGTTTACCCCTCCTCCAAAAGTTTCTTAGGGGACGGTGCCTCCTCTGCCACCCCGTATCCGTCGCCCATGTAAGCGGTCACTGAAGGCCTGGGCTGCCGCTGCGTCACGTTGACGCTTATAATGCCTCCAAAACTAGGTTGAAGAGAGGAAAACTTCAGTTGAACGCGAACGTTTGCCATTTAAGAAAGGCAACGTATGATAAAGTATATGGGCATCTGGTTACATCTTCAGATGATCGAACAGAATAATCAGCTATGTGGTTTCTTG